AAAAGCTTATTTTTGGCAAACGGATTTTTCGAAGGTCCAATTCCAACGAGATGAAACTACCCTTCAAATATTACCAAGTTATAGATATAATAAAATCGCCATATTGTTTTTTCTCCTGCTGACATAAATGTGAGAAAATTTTATCCAGTTTTTATGTTAATGGAAATTCTTGCTTTGCTTTATCATATCATCACCATTACAAATGATTAATTCGACGCGAACGAAGTCGCTGGTACACGCTAGTATATTTAAATTTCTTTACAAATAGGCTTATATGGATTCGTACTACCCAAGAATGGTTTAATAAAACCAATATTTAAAATTCAAAACCAATGATTTTGTCTTCATTTTTGTGTTTTTTTTTAAGTTTTGTCGGGATTTTACTTTTTGTTTCTTCTTTTTCTCTCAGCGTGTTACCTTGTATTTGCTTTGTCTATTTTTGTTTTTTTAAGTTTTTTTAAATTAATTCTGTATTTTTTTTAAGTTTTATGTTGTTTGTAGGTACAATATTATACTAAATGCCATTACATATTTAACAGTGCCTTAGTATATGTTTTCTAACTGATACAGCAAACTAAAATAAATATATTATGTTATTCTTAACTGCCAGTGATTTTATAATCTAGTCGTATTAAAATGAATAAAACAAAATCCCCCAAGGTGGGCCTCAACAATGGGTCACCCTGTAACACCCTATAAAAGTATGACGACTTATTTGTTTATGACAAATCATAAATATTTATCATTTAGTAAAATCCAGTAATAAGCATTGGCTTTTCCCATAACGACATTATTTTAATATTTTATTGTAATATTAATAGCAGTGCATCGGGATCTGAACATTTATTTTTTACTCATATTTTTAGACCGATAATAAATCGTATACAATATGAGATAATTAATTACTTTTAAGATTTTATTTTTTAAATTTAGATTATTATTGTTTTATATATTTTTGATTATATTTAGATCACCATAGTTTAGTATTTTGCTAGAATTTCAATTAGCAGCATCAGTATTGCAAGGAATATTAAAATTTTAGATTTTCCGATGTATGCCGGTTAAACAATTTTATCGGCAATATTATTGCGAATAATATAGATCAATGCTCGAAAATACACAGATTCTAAATAGACACTGAACATTCGAGAATTGGATCTAGAGATAGATAGTCTGTTTTAATCTAATAAGAATTCGAACTATAAACTGCGCCATTCACTGCACAATTCGATTAACTGCACTTCATGAAAGACTTTAAATTTAAGTATAAAACCACTTATTACAGTTGACGGTTGGAACCTTTGGTGTTACACAGCAAAATAAATAGAATAAACAGAATACGGAAGGAAAACATTAATAACCAACATAATACAAACAAATAACAAAATAATGAAAGAACAGAAACAGATCGGTTGAGGCAATAAACAGACTAAAACCGAGTAGATGTCAAAATTTCAGAAGAAACAATTTGTAAAAAAAATAATAACTTTTATATTTAACATTTTTCCAAACATTAGAGAATGGTAACCTCTGATGTTTGGAAAAATGTTAAAATAATAAAAAACATAAAACGTTATAAATATAACAAGTGGTTTTATCAAAATAAAAACACTAAATCACCACAATACACCAAAACACTTTTTACTTTTACACTGGACGCGCGTTTCGCTAACCATGTTAGCATCATCAGCAGATGATTATAACTTTGATCAGTTTATAATCATCTGCTGATGATGCTAACATGGTTAGCGAAACGCGCGTCCAGTGTAAAAGTAAAAAGTGTTTTGGTGTATTGTGGTGATTTAGTGTTTTTATTTTGATAAAACCACTTGTTATATTTATAACGTTTTATGTTTTTTATTATTTTAACATTTTTCCAAACATCAGAGGTTACCATTCTCTAATGTTTGGAAAAATGTTAAATATAAAAGTTATTATTTTTTTTACAAATTGTTTCTTCTGAAATTTTGACATCTACTCGGTTTTAGTCTGTTTATTGCCTCAACCGATCTGTTTCTGTTCTTTCATTATTTTGTTATTTGTTTGTATTATGTTGGTTATTAATGTTTTCCTTCCGTATTCAGTTTTATAGTATTTTGCCTTGTATGCTTCATAGAATTCATAATTCCAATTATGGTGTAGCCTCCCTCCCATATTTATATAGGTACTCTATTATTTGTAGTTGGTCCCATTGTTATCTATTGTTGCCTATGCGGACCCATGTTATCCCTGCTAATGTCCTAATATCATAGTCTCATCTCAGGTTGGGTCTTCTACTAGGTCTCTTAATTCCTCGTGAGTACCATGCTGTAATTTTTGTGGTCCGTCTGTTGTCCGTTCTTCTTGCCAGATGTCCTGCCCATTGCCACTTGAGGGATTTGTTGATGATCTATTACCTGGGTCTTTTATCATATCCACTTTATTCTTTATGGTCTTTCTTGGTTATTCCCATCGTATTTCGTACCATTGAGCGTTGTGCGACCTGCAGTTTCCTTATAATGACCGTTTTAAGTGTCCAGGTTTGACATCCTAAATCCCAAGTAAGTGCATATAGATATAGTAGTTTTTGAAACTCTTAAAAAACAATATGTGTTACTTGGGATGCATAGGTCATGACTGGTAGTACACATTGGTGGAAGAGTCTGTAAATCTATACATAGTCTATAGTCTATAGTATGTATAATTCCGAAGAAAAATAAATTGTTGTAGGCAAACTATAGTTGTAAATGTGTGTAAAAGATTAAGTACTGTTACATTAGAGTTAATATAGAGTATAAGATTCTTTAAACTGTGGTATAAGTATAATAACGCTGAAGTTGGAACTTTTGGCGTTATAATAGAAAAATGAAACAGCCAGTTCATTACAATACAACAAAACATTTGATTTTGAATATTGGATGCTCAATTTGCTAAGCATGTTAGCATCATCAGCTGAATACTGAAACTCCGAAAACCTATTTTTTTGGTGGTTAACTAATGTTTAATTTTGACATTTACCAACGTCTAATTTTATAATCACAGAATGATTTGGAAGACAAATACAAAGTGTAAAAAGAACAAAATTTTATAAAAAAAATAATGGGTACGTTTCTATATTTTTAATTAGAAATGTAAAATTTGACAGGTAAACCAAGTTGCACAACTACCACGGTGTATTCATTTTTATTTTTTTTAGTCAAGAAAAAAAATGTAATGTTGTGGACACTATTTTGAACTTAAATAATTATTTTTTATTTTCAATTAGGTTATTATCAACAACGACAATGAAATGAAGATGATAGGTACCTTTAAAGTGTTTACATTGATTGAAGCTGTTAAGAAATTTTTTATTGCAAAGTTGTCATGTTGGTAATCGTTGCCATGAAATAATAGTTATAAATTAACAGATCATTAACTAGCGATCTTCTCAGGCAGGTAAATATTAATAAATATGTATTTTTCTAGCGAGTGGCCAGAGTGACGGCCAGATCTAAGCACGTCGTCGCAAGAGAAATATCTCGGGCATGTCCGGTTAGTCATGCCCGGACTTTTTGCCGTTTCTCGGCATTTGTTTCTTTCGGCTTTCCGAATAGAAATGGGCACAGCAAACTCTTGTACAAGGTCGGTGTCGGAACTGCTGCGATTTCAACGAATTAGTCGTTTGTTTGAGGATTTATTTAAAATTTAGTCGGTGGCGGTGGCAAGAAAAAGAATCAAAGCAACCGTGGAATAGAATTACCATTAATTGCGAAGTTGTTTGAAATCGCAGTATACGGTGTGTGTGCGTAAATAAATGTTTGGAAAAATAGTATGTAGAGAATTGTTTTTCGAAAAATATGTATGTGTATAAATATCCACCTTATTTCAGAAATTATTTGGAAAAAATCGAAAAAAAAAATTAATTTCTACACCCTGTATCTCCGAAACTAAGCATTTAGGACATCAATTTAAACGACTTTTTTTACGTATTTTTATCTGCAGAATATGCTGCCGAAGTTTTCCGATTAGAATTCGGACCACCCTGTATATTATCTAATTGATTTTCAGATTCTTGGAAAAAAATAAATGTAAGTTTATTAGGGAAGCATATGACTAAAATGTAAGCTTTCTGGCATATCTGACATATTCTAAACACGAAGAATAAATTTTAATTTGCAATAAAAGCTACCTAAGTTAGAATTTACCCGGTATATCCTAATGAGGCGGTTAAAATTAAAATAACCATTGTACTTTGAATCAAATGTAAACTTGGCCCGAAAAGTTATATCTACAGGGTGAGACAAAATTAATATTGAATAGTGATACACTTTTAAAAGCATGTTACTCATTTATTTCTAATGGAACACCCAGTATATTATTCCGATATTCAATGGAGAATTGATCTTTCTTGAAAATACTATTGAAGTTACCTACCCCTCAGACAAAGATTTTCTTAGATATTTTTTTTATTTAGTGTCAGAAGAACTCTATTATTTTATAGAAGCTAGGTAGCTGTGATATGCCTGACGTTACATCAAAATATCTGTCAAACGGGAATTTATATATGATTCTATTAATTGGTAAAAGGCAGTGCGGTGCATTTACCAATTATTAAAATACTTAAATTCTTCTGATTTTTCTAGTCTGAGCTTTTTTTATGGAGGTATATTAAAGACAATGTTTACAAAACTCCACCAACTATTGTCGACAACATGAAGGAATGAATTGTGGCTACTTTTCAGTACAACTCCACATATTATGTCTCTTAATGTATAAAGATCATTTGAAAAGAAAATGTTATATACAGTGAGCAAGAAGCATTTTGATCATTTGATGTCTTCTAACTAATTTTTGTCATTACAGTTGGAGGTTGGAGCCTTTGGTGATACAACAGCCTGTAGAGAGATGATAAAACACTAATTAATTCACTACAGTACACCAAAACACTTTACTTTAAACACTGGTCGACACTTTCTCTATCCATGTTAGCATCATCAGTAGATGATTAAAACTGATAATAGTTGTTTCTTTCTTATTTCCAGGTTCGGTACACTGGTCACAGAGAACGACCTCAAGAAGAAAGAATGAAAAGATTCATAAATGCGTGCCAGGAGGGCCATACAGAAATTGCATTCACGGCCACTGGCACCAATTTGCAATTGATTTTCGATTCCCAAAACCTACCATATGCGACACAAAGCCAATGTGAGTTCCAGAAAGAACAAAACAAGGTATGTAACATATTTTGTACCGTTATCTTTTAAATTGTTGTATTATAAAGACAGTGTTCAAGAAAAATCTTTGAATAAACAGATTAAAGAGTCTATTACGCTGTACTGTTTGGGTCACTCTCAGGGGTCGTATAAAGCGGATGTGCGGCCTAAGGAAATATACAGGGTGGCGCACCTCATTCGCCTCGGTTGATTATACGAAAACGGAAAGATGTAGAAACAAAATTTTTTATGGGTATATGTAGAGAGGCAATGTGCATAATTTAAAATGATTTTCAAATGTACAGGGTGTGTCAGAACTAAGATCCATACCAAAGTTATATTTTTTCTTATTGAACACCCGGTATTTTATTTCATTTTTGGATTCTTGGGCATAACATAAGGCATTTATTATAAGGCTTCAATATGTTTAAATCCTTTGGTTTTTTAAATATTTAAAGATATTTAAACATGCATGCTATAATAAAAAATATTGTCAACACTTTGTACATCGCTTTTCAGAATTAATTCTTGTGCTGACTTTGAAGCCAGAGAAATATACTCTACTAAAATATTATTGCTTCCTTAAATGTATACAGGGGTATCGCAAATTGCTGGTCTATTTTAAATTTTTATTTTACATAAAAACTTGGTTATTTCAAATACAACACTATGTATTTTTTAAAATAAGTCGAACAGATTTAAATGCTCTTTCGAACTAAATTAAATATTATAAAATAAAATAAAACAATTAATATTAAATTTAATAAAATAAAACAGCAAATTATTGAGCCTACCCTTCATTATATTTTGGAAGTTCTGAATAAAATTAGAACGGCACTGATAAACTGGAATTTAAGTCGGCCGTTTTAGGTCCCCATCGCGCTTCACCGAAGTTTTTTGATATACTCCTTCCTTAATCTTTTTCCTCAAAGAGAAAAACTGATAAAAATATACAGTATGTCCTCGGATTGTCTTTACAAGAAGAAAAACTTTTTATTGTTGACATTTTCAGACAACTGTATTCTCCATAAAAAAAATTCTTTGTTCTAAAATGGTTAATCCCGTTTATACTTTTCCAAATTTCCATGCTGTTTTAGAGAAAATTCATTTTATCAAAGAATGAAAACGAAGTTATATTACCATAGAAACGCGTTTTGATTTTTGGGACTTTAGAAATTCAACAATATTTTCATGATTTTCTTAATTTTCTCTAAAACGATATGGAAATTTGGAAAACTATAAACGGGATTAACCATTTTAGAACAAGCAAAATTTTTTATGGAGAATGCATTTTTTCCTCTTGTAATTTTTTCCTCTTGACATACTGTAATCAGGAAATCTGCAATTTTAAATTATTAAAGTTTAGTTATAGACTAATTTTATATTTTGTGCGCCACTGAGCGCCACTGGTTGCGAGGTCCGTTTCAAAATGGCGAAATTCGACGCTCTTTTTCGGCAACCAATCGCGCACCGACGCCAGTATTGATCCGTCCCGGCGCCATACTGTTCTACGCCGATACAGTTTCACCGCCAAACCTTGGCGTCGGTCGGCGTCGGTTCATTTGATTTAGGTGAAATATGAGTTAAATAGCGCAAACTAGTTCTGAAAAATATTTTAAATCCAACATTAAAAATTGGCGTTTTTACTAAACAGAAAAAAGTTGACATTTTCTAAAAATCCATTATTCTATCATATTGTATATAGCGGTATTTTAGGAATTATTATTGTTTGGCTTATAGTTATTCACATGCTTATTTGCCTATCGTGATGGATATACAGTGTGTCCCAGGCTGAGCGTGCATTAGAAGTTTTTAGAGAACTACAATATCTAGATTGGAGATTTTTTGCACATCTTTGTTTTACAACGAGATCTATCGATTGAAAATAATTTTGATATGGCGGCACTTCCGGAATTACCGGAAGTTGACAGCCACTTTCTAAAGTTTCCATTTGAAAAAAAACTATTTATGATAATTTTATAACCGATCAATTCCATGACAGTTGCGGCCACTATTTATATGACATTCGAACAATTTAATTCTTGAAATAGATAGCAACATGTCTTCTCTTTATGTCACAGTGGCTGTGGTAATCACTAAATTTGACGTTTAGACTATACGCATTTTTTTGACAGGCGGTTTTTTTCGCCCAAGAATTCTTAATATATTTTTTTTTTCTCAAAAACGGTGAATGTTAGGTAGAGAGTGTTTATCATCAATATTCGCATAATTTTACAGAGAATTTAAGCATGTAATAAACAATGGGGGCGCCTATTTAAAATAAGTTAGTTGCTGACAACTTTCGGTATTTCCGGAAGTGCCGCCATATTGAAAATATTTTTAATCAATAGATCTCGTTGTGAAACAATGATCTGCAAAAAAATCTTTGATAATAATAATAATAAGTCTTTATTGAAGAAGATGTGTAACATTAAATATATTACACATCATGCAACAAGGGTGGCGAAATTTAATAATAATAATATGAGCAAATGCAAGACCAAGACCAAGACTCCCTTGGTGTTGTTGCAAGACACTTGCAAGTCCTGCATCTTTTAACAAATTTTTACTAGAGGCACTTTTTTATAGAAAATCTTTTTTTAGTATTTTTAGTAATTTAACGCAAATCAAATTTTAAAGAAAGAATCAAGAATAGGTAGTAACGAAAAGGTTCTGCTGGCATATTTTGAACATCTTTCAAAACATAAGACATAAGTAACTCGTTTTTTGTTGGAAGCTTGATAAAACTTATTTCCTGACAAAAGTTTCATTGATAGTGGGACTTGTGGGAGCCTGCCGGCGTATCGAGTTGACAAATCTGCAGTTGCAAAATGTTAAAGATGAAGGACAATGCATTCATGTCATTATTCCATTTACGAAAACAAAGATATCACGAGATTTTTTTATAACGAAAGGGAATGTTGAAGGAATAAATATGGTGGAAATGGTTCGAAGATATATATATATATATATATATATATATAGCTATGCGGCCAAGCAACACAGAGCATACTCGATTTTTTGTGGGGTACAGAAATGGAAAATATATTAAGCAACCCGTTGGCATTAATACTTTAGGGAAAATGCCGTATAAAATAGCATTGTTCCCAAATCTTCCAAATCCACAACAATACACTGGACATTGTTTCCGTAGATCGTCTGCGTCGTTGCTTGCAGATTCAGGAGTTTATTTTTATTAACTGTTAAAAGACATGGTGGCAGAGAGCTATATAGAAAATTCAAAACAAAATAAGAAAAAAGTGTCATGTAATATTTTAGGTAACATTTCTGGCAATGATGGATCTTCAACAAGTTCAAGCACTCAGGAAATAAATTTACTTTTCAAAAATTCAACTCACCTGTCATCGTCTGGAATTGATTTAACCAATTGTACTGATATTATAATTAATGTTTACAATAAAGAAACGTATTTAGGTACCTTTTTTTGCTTGTTTCTTATTTTAAAATTTGCGTGTTATTATGAATTCATAATAGCACTAGTGCTATTATGAAAGCCATAATGACATCCAAATAACAATGTTAAATGTGTCATAATGATATTGTATATTAATTAAATTTAATACCTACCTACGTGATCTAATAGAGTGACTTTTTTTCACGATATTCACAATAATGTAATGATATGAATAAAGACGCATGTTTATTAGGTTTAACTTTAACCTCCAGATTTGTGAGAAAATACAAATGCAAATATAAACCGATATGTAAACAGTAAAAAATCCTGTACTCTTTTGCCGTAAAAGGCAGCAAAATGTCTTTCTGCCGATGTGCCGAAACAACTAAAAACACCAATAAAAGACGCATCTCAAACCAAGACAATAAACAAAGTCGTTCCGACCGGTGCGGCCAATAAAATTTTAATAGCAACCCTCGAAAGCAACATTTTACTGACAATTTACGAGACAAGAGCTCGGAATTGACAGAAATTGCACTTTACTGTCATAACGATGGGCCTGCGACAATGGCAGAATTTTGTTACGGATATAAACACATTTTTTTATTGTCGTCGCTTCGTAGACTTGTATTGCAGCAGAGAACTGACCCAGGAAAAAGTTTCTAAAATTTTTATTTTATACCGTCAATGGTAAACTGTAAGTTTAAAATTGGATCGTACAGTTAAATGTTTTTATTAGTTTATTGCAGGCCCAAATCTCAGGCAAAATGTTACATTATTATTTTTTTTTAGCTGAGTTAGAAACTTTTCAAAAGGTAACAAAGAAGGTTCAAAGCATAGGTTCAAAGCAATAAAATTTTGGTACTCTTTAGTTTCTCTAAAACGAACTAAGAAAATTTATAGTTATGCTTTTTAAGTTCCATTTTAAACATAATTTAAACATAGAGTTTATTAAGTAAAAATTTAAACAATACAGGGTGTTTCAAAAAATGTGCCATCTCTCGTGGGTAGATTCCTCACATAAAAATAAGATTTATTTTTCATATCAATATATTAGTCATAGGTCCGATTCTGCTTTATTTCGTAGCTACAGGGTGTTAAAGTCTTAATATTCTTTCGATTTATTATAATTTTTTTCCAAGTACTTTTAGTAATTTTAATGAAATTCTGAGGGTAAAAGTTACTAAAAGTGCTACATATTTTAATGCTAAAAAAGTGGAGATAAATTCATCAGGGACGTGCATATGGAATATTTATCAAAAAAAAACATGTACGCCACTGACTTTTTTCTTTTAATATCAAAATTGTGTACACCGTTTGATGCCGATTAAAAGTGATCTCTTTAATCGGTTATTTCGGTTATTATCTCTTTTAATCGGTTTAAGTTATTTCTTTTTAATAAAATTAAAGTAAAAATAAAATTAATAAATTATATATTTACTTAATTTATTATTAAATATTATTGCCATTAGTTATAATTACTTTTAGTCCAATCTACAGTAATTTAAAATAAAAAATAATGGTATATAAGATAATTATAAAAAACCTAATTTTAAAAATTTTAACATCCTGTAACTCTAAAACTATGCATTTCCATAGCATG